TTTGCAGTTGCGGAATTAAACCAAGGATTAAAGCATTTACAGTTTTCACATGTAATGAGATTATTCACGTCGGTCCCAAGCTGGTCCTACGTGCAATCCTCAGTCAGCAGGTAACTGAGCAGAGACTAGAAAAAATAACTTAAAGTCACTGAATCCAAGCAGCAGGAGTAAGCATAATTTTTCCAGTCATATCCCCATCTCTCCTTCCGCAATTACTTTCTTCTAAGAACGTATGCCAACGGACAGAGGGATACAGGACTACAACAGACTGCTCCCACCAAGTGCCCTTGGCAATGCCATCACGTAACCTTCTCAGCCAACCAAGTTCTCACTTAAAGTTTCAAAATTTACTGGGCTTTCCATCGGAAAGAGCTGTCAGACCTGCACTAACCCACTGGAACAAAAACTAATGCCATCACGTAACCTTCTCAGCCAACCAAGTTTCAAAATTTACTGGGCTTTCCATCAGAAAGAGCTGTCAGACCCGCACTAACCCACTGGAACAAAAACCTTACTCCCCAAATGAATGTATATCTATTCTTGCACTGAGTTTGTGCACTAGTTTCAGCAGTTGTCTCGCTGATGTGCCCACCACCCTGACGTACTCGCAGCATGCGTGTGCTCTGCCTTCATTTACCAAACCAAGGAAGTCTCCTCCTGGAACGCAAGGTGAACACGATCACCTGCTCACTTTGGCTGCCCCCCCTTTTTTTTTTCTTCTCCCTTCTTCTAATATTAACACATCTTTCTTGAGCACGGTTGTAGAAATACTTCCAGCTGCTGTCTCACCAGAGCCTCCTATAACAGCATGGGTATCTAACCAGAAAGCCTTGCTTTCCTGCAGGCTCTTCCGACTACACCAAAAACAACTGCCAGATGCACTCTGATCAGTTCAGCCTGATCCAATTTCTGCTGATATGTCCAAATCTTTCTTCTCCTCCGCTGCTGAGCTCCCGGCTTCTAGCAGAAATTCTTGTTGTTGTCTCCAAGTACACAGCCTGCTGCCCTGCACTGCTGAACATTATCCCATTTCCATGGCTCCAGCACAGAGTCACCCAATTCCTCTTGTACACCAGCCTCATTCGTCTCTTCTGGTGATGGTGCTCACCAACTCGGTGTCATCAGCAAATTTAATTAGCAAATGCCTCTTTTTTGTGCCAGTGTCATTAATTTAAATATAAAACAGAAGTCATAAAACATAAATGATTTTCCAGTTGACTGATACTTTTTCTTTCTGTACCACTAGTTTACATTCCCCTTACTGCCTAATTTGTCCCCACCTTACAATTCTTCTACAGCACACACCCGCTAGATTAACTAATTACTTCCCATGTGGCATCCAGGTAGATTAATTTCTTTGTCTAAGAGTTTAACTAGAACTCTAAAGAAAGTGCTGACAAAGGCAACACCTTTACTTAAATCACATTTCACTTTATTCCAGTTTCCAGTTAGTCCCAAGTCTTTCACTTTTCGTCCATTGTAAATTTATTGCAAAATTTTGCGCTCTGTTTAGGTAAAATTAACTTCAATTGCCTGGATCACTTTGCCTTTTCCCTTCTAAACACAGGCCTGTCGACACAACTCACCATTCACATGAGACAACAGCAGACCCAATAAATTTTACTGGAAATCTCTGCTCCCAGCCCTGCAATTTCACCCACTGGTTCTTTCAGCATTCTCAGATGGAGATTATGCAGCCTTCCAGTCTCAATGCATGGAGGTCTATGCCTCCACCTAAATATGACTACCTCATCTCACATCCATATTCCTGTAATCTACCTTGGTTTTGCTTCTGATGATGCACATAAGAATAATCAAGCAAAAAAAAATGTTTTTTTCAAGTCATATCTTTATCAATTTTAATATTCACTTCACTGATACGGCAGTGCAGCCTTTGGCTATTTCATATCCTTTGCAGTATCTACCGTCCTCGTCCACTGGCAGTGTAAAAGAATCTAAAGACTACTCCTAAAACGGTGTTCTAGTGCTTAGATATGGTATTAGGCAACTTCTAAAAGAAATAAAGGCAGCATTTCATGCTGCCTCTTTAAGCTGACCTACTGAACAGAAGCTAAAATTCTTGGCAATGATCCAGCAGAAGGTACCTTGAGAACAAGCCCATAATTTCCAGTGGAGCTAAGAAGGAAGAAGCGCTTGAAAGCAGTATTTTAGAAAAAGGAGTGTGTAAATATAAAGGTTTAGTGGATAAACACCATCCAGTGGGTTGCAGTTCAAAATTATTTTATATAGCACTACAAAAGGTCATTTTACAGGCATAGTCAGGTTAAAACTCCTTATCCCAAGATGGTTACAGTCAGAATGAAAAGATTATATGGTCTGGGGAGGAGAAACGGTGAAAGAAGGCATCACGTGTGAAGTGAGACAAAACATTGCTAAAACATACATACTATAGCTATATTTATCTTGAAAAATATCACAAATAAACATTCCCATTGCATTGTGATATTATAGCCACGATAGCATACAACCTGTTACACTGCAACCAACATCTTAGGAAAGGGATATGGCATCCAAGTTCATTACATGTTCTAAGTAGTCCTAGCTAAGCACCCAAACCCAAGAACTACAGAGCTGAAACATATATTATGAGAAAAGAGGTATCTGGTTGCCTAGTTTGAAGCTTCAGTTTTGCCCTATCATTTCTAACTGAACACAAAGAGTTACCAAACCTGTTTGATTCAACGTACTAGGCTACAGAGGTCAGCTCCTCGTAGCTTTAGTTCAGAAAATGAAGAATATAAATGCTTGCGAACTAAGAAAGGATAGAACTGAAAGGGAAGTTAAACCTATTTTCTATGTGTAAAATATGGAAAGTTGCATTAACTTCTTTCACTTCCCATGCCTGGCTGCTTCCTTTTTTATTCAAAATTTTCTTCAAAAGAAAATCGTGGATCCCATACAAAAATCATCATACAACACATGAGAATTTGTAACCTGGTGTGATTTTTGCATACATACCCCAGATAAAGCAAGTAAAATAACCACCAAGTAACTAGACAAAGGCAAAACCAAGAGCACATAGAATCATAGAATCATAGAATGTTTTGGGTTGGAAGGGACCCCTAGAGGTCATCTAGTCCAACCCCCCCGCAGGAGCAGGGACACCGCTAACTAGATCAGGCTGCTCAGAGCCCCGTCCAACCTGGTCTTGAATGTTTCCAGGGATGGGGCCTCCACCACCTCTCTGGGCAACCTGTTCCAGTGTTTCACCACCCTCACTGTAAAGAACTTCTTCCTTATATCTAGTCTAAACCTACCCTGGTTTAGTTTAAAACCATTACCCCTTGTCCTGACACAGCTGGCCCTACTAAAAAGATTTTCCCCATCTTTCCTATAGGCCCCCTTTCGGTACTGAAAGGCCACAATCAGGTCCACAGCCTTCTCTTCTCCAGGCTGAACAAGCCCAACTCCCTCAGCCTGTCCTCATAGGAGAGGTGCTCCAGCCCCCGGATCATTTTTGTGGCCCTCCTCTGGACCCGCTCCAACACTTCCATGTCCTTCTTGTGTTGA